TGCAGGAAAATTTGCCCACCTGATTTCGGCACGGATAGTTTCCGTGCTGATGAAAAATTCTTTATTGATGCGTTCTTTAAACGTCGGTGGTACAATGTCAGCCGTGTTCGAGAAGGCAAAGCCTTGGTGCAGGGATAGAATGCCCTCATCCACAAAATCGAGTGCATTGGCCGTGAGGCCTGCCTCGCCAAACTTGATGCAGCTCGCGTCAAGTTTGATAAACGCAACCCATTCGGGGCGCGATACAAGTTGCACCGATATTAAAGAGAGGCAGGATTACCCTGTATCTCGTGGGGTGATTCGTGTCCGTTTGCCTGGACAATTCGAACCGTGCCCATAGGGAGGCCTACCTCCCTAATGATCCCTACTGGAGGGCGCGCATCTTTTCCGATATGGCCGAAGGGATCGACACTTTGCAATCGCTGTACTCGCGTTCGGGGAGGTCATTTTCCGACGGCCCTTCTTCAAACGCAGCGGGCGGGTCTCGTCGTACTGCCCGACGAGATTAAGGACATCAACAATCATCTGGGTACGAGGCTCCCAGCTGTCCTACGCCGGTGGATAGCCACGCTAGCGGACGAGGTAACTCGTCCGGACGACATTCACATCGCGGTGGTTCAAGATACGCTCCACTAGGAAGCGTTGACCACCGCTTGAGTCCACCAAAGGATGTGGTGGCGGTGGGAACACCTGATTTGGCTCGAGGGTCGGATCAGCTTGATGTTTAGGAGCTGAACCGTGTAACGGAACAGTTGCAAGGTGAACTAGCTCATGAACGGACTCGACGGTATGAGCTACATGATCTTGTAAGGGATAAGCACAATTCCTTAGCCCACGATCGTTCGGACGATCGTGCCGCGTTTGCGTTCACACAACTTGAAAACGAACCTTCGTCTAGTGTTTTCGTGACGAGCTGGCTGCAGCTCGTCGAGACATTGCTCAACTGCGTGAGCAGGCCGCTTCGCTAGTCAAAAGACTGGCTCGTCAAAAAGGAACTGCTCAAGGGTGGTCTCGGCTCTCGACCGCGAGGTGTTCTTCGCATCTCGAAACGGGCTCGTACTGATAGTACGGGCGGCGACGACCGACGTAAAACGTAGGATGCGTACGCATGTTACGGGTCAGTTCAATCGTTTATGCGTTGCCCATTTAACGCAACACACGAAATGGACCGATATAATAGGGCAGTAGTTTGCTCCTGCCCACGTTTGTCACTGCATGTTTCGGTAGATTTACTGTAGACAGTAAAACTAGTTCTCATTCATCAAATGAAAGAACATTTGCTCATCCATTTTTATCTTCGTTTCTCTTCTGTTTGTCTAGTTCATCTGCAATAGAGTCTTGAACGAAGCGGAAAACCGCTTCGCGAGTCAGCAGAAATTACTCTGCTGATTTATCCTTGTCAAAACCGTGCGCTTCGTGTGCACTGCTGAAAGAACGTTGTCTTCACCAGTGAGGGTGTCATCGTCCTCAATTTGGCGGTCATTGGCGATGCTGAATATACCACCATCGTCGTTATCATCATCTTCGATGTCGACATCCATCACGTCGACACCATTGTCGACGGGTGATGAGCAAGAACCAGATCGGGTTTTGTTTGAGCGAGTCCACCCCCCCCTTTAGCTGGAGTCACACTCTAAGAAGGCGGGTAAACGTGGATGGCGTAGGACATTCACGAAGAACGGTGTATGCGTTGTCGACGCGTGCACCGAGTTGTTGATAGCGATTCTGCCATCGGAAAAAACTCACTCCAGCTCGTAAACGAGTGGACATACCCTCGAAGTGTCTCTTTGAGGACGCGGTTGACGCGTTCCGTCTGACCACCTGTTTCTCGATGGTCAGAAGCTGACATCTTTAAACGTGTTCCAAGTGAAAGGAACACGGATTGCCAAAAATCCGCTGTGAAGCGGGGGTCCCTATCAGACACGAGTTCACGGGGTAACCCGTGAAGTCGGAAGATAGTATCGATGAAGACACGAGATTAGCCCTACGTTGTGATTGAATCTGGTACAGCAACAAGATGTACCATCTTGCTGCACCGATCAACAAACACAAGAATACAGGTATTCTTGTGAACGTCTTTGGAAAACCCGAAGAAGAAGTCCACTAGTACGAACTGCCAACACTCTACCGGAATCGAATGAGGCTGCAAGGGTGCGCGGGATGAAGGACGAGGCTTCGCCCGTTGTGAAACTTCGCAAGCGCGAATGTATTTCCGCACAAACCCATACTGGCGGGGCCAGTAGAAGTCACGACTCACCGTGAGGTAAGTCTTTTCTCTACCGCGATGTCCACTTGTTGCGGCATCGTGACACTCAAACATGATGCGCAATCGCAAATCATTATGAGCGGTAAAGACGACACGAGGTGTGTCGCCGTTAAATGTTGTAGAGTACAGCGTTCTACCACGAACAGAATACCGTTCGGTTGAAGAGCGGTATTGAGACGACAAGCTTTTCAAAGCTTGATTACACGGATTGGATACGTAATACATCAATAGCAGAAGAGACTCATCTTCTGCGTATGCTTTTCGCACATCGTCGAGCAGATTTGACGAAGAAACACTCACTTTTAGTGTTGCTACAGTGATATCACCGCTACTGTTGTGTTGAGCAGCCGGATCGAAATCGGGCCGACGCGAAAGAGCATCAGCGACGACATTAAGCCGTCCTGGTTTATACTCGACGGAGAAGTTGCACTCCGCGAAGAGAGACAGCCACCTCGCCATTTGTTGCGAGAGGTGTGGACTGTTTACGGCCGTGTATAACGACGCATGGTCGGTGTAAACGATGAAGGGCCTATTTCCTAAGAGATAACCCAAAACTTAGCCAGTGCATATTTAATGGCAAGGGGTTCCTTGTCGTGCACTGGCTAGTTCCGCTCAGCTGCTTGTAGCTGACGCAATTGATAACAGAAGACGCACTCAACACCGTCTAAGTCGTACTGCATTAACGCGCAGCCGATTGCAAAATCGCTAGCGTCACAGACCACATGAAATGGTCTGTCCTGGTCCGCAATCGCCAACACAGGCGATTTCATCAAGCTATTATTGATGCCTTCAAAAGAAAGCTGACACTCAGCGCACCATGACCACCTCTCGTTTTTCTTTAGCAGACGAGAGAGATGTACGGATATCTCGGCATCGTTGCGCGAGTATTTGTGCAAGTATGCCGCCAAGCTAAGGAACTTTTAAAGTCTCTTGATGACGACTGGCTCAGGCCAGTCGCTAATCGCCTTGATCTTTTTCGGATCGGGGCGTACACCGTTTTTACCCACGATGCAGCCAAGGAGTAGTGTTTCGTACGCCGCGACTATGCACTCCTTGAGGTTCGCGAACAACTTATACTCTCGCATTAAAGTAAGAACCTGTCGGACGTGGATTTTATAAACCTCCACATCCGTCTTTCCATCCATAGCCCGGCTATGGACGAATACATCGTCAAAGAAACTCGGGACAAAATCTTGCACCAATCGCAACAGATTCGTAGCACATCTGTCGAATGTTGCAGGGGCGTTACTTAGACCCTTTGACATCACTAGCCACTCCCAGAGCATATAACCGGGGTGCTCACTGCTGTGTACGGGATGTATCGTTCACACATGAGGATCTGATAATTCATCCATCAAATTAATAGACGAAAAGATGGTACTTTTTGCCATACCATCTATGAGGACGTCCTTCATTGGTATCGCCGTTTGAGCCGGTACCGTTGCAGCGCTCAGTTTGTTGAACGCGTGCACTATCCGCCACCGTCCTGTGGCCTTTCGCACACAGAAGGTAGGAGAGCTGTGTGAGGATGTTGATTCCCTCACATGACCATCCGCTAAATGATCGGTACAGAATTTGTCGATCACTGTGACCTGTTCACGAGGCAGTGTCTACTGCTTCATGACACATTATTTCGGACCAGGTTTCAAAGCGATCTCATGCCGAGTGGCTTTGTCCTTGGGCAGCTCGCGTGGCACGAATTCTGGAAAACATCCCTGAATTCCACCAAATCCTTATACAAAGTATTTGTCTTCAAAGACTCCCAAGATTGAGCTGTGTATCGCTCAATCAGGGTATTCTCATTAAGCACACTCTCATTCATCGATAAGCTACTGAGAGCCCGTTCGTTCTCAGCAAACACTTGTGCTGACCGAATATCGGCGACGTACTCGTCCTCTGTGACAAGTACGCATATCTGCTTGATCTTGTCACTACGCAGATCTTGCAAGAATCTTCTAGAATCTAGCAATGGCAACTTGACTATCTCCGAAGCTGACGTCGGGGGTGTAACCAGATCAAGTGCATAAGCGCCTACACTTGATCCGTCATTCACCAACACATTCAATGTCTCGGTGATTTTCTGGGAAAAACATCCGTAGGTGGTTGGGGATCCACACCCTCAACATAACTCTCTCGGGGATTATTGCTCTCAGAAACGCTAAACTTTCTTCCAATACGTGTACTGAAATGAGCATGTACCACCACAGTCACGTCCTCTTCGATCGACTCTCTTTCAGTTAATCGGGCTTTCTCTACGATCGACACTCTGTTGGTCGATCTCGCTTTACGTGTTGTTCATCCTAAACAACACTAACCTCTCTTCTCGGATGCACCCTTCTTGGCGTGCATCCGTGTTTCAGTCCACTCGATCTCTTCGAGCGGTGAACCTTCGGCGCAGCCTGTGTCTCTACACAGGTGCCGGAAGCTGGTTCCACAGTTTAGTGGCCTTTTACACTGTGATCTTGTGCAATCGTACTAACGACCGTAACACAAGTGAAACCATCGCACTCACTCGTAGTTCATCCACAAGCTTGTGGACACTCCAAGACGTTCATCAAATGGCCATCTGATGAACAAATGGCAGGCATCTTCAACGATCGATGCTGCCAGCTGATCCATGGCTGGTAATTTCTAAGTCATGGCAGACCAAGGATGACATCAAATTTGTCATTTAAATCAAGTACGATAGAGTCATCATCGTATTGTTTTCCTTCTAGCGTGTAGCGGATTCCTACTACACGTTTACCACTGTTGCGGATGCGACTGTAGCAAAGCGCACCGTCATCCTCGTTGGAGGGATCTCTTGCTCAACATACTTGAGTCTACTATCTTCCAGCGACTGGCGTCCAATAAAACTGTTCGATGCCCCACAGTCAACTAGGAAGCGAATTGGCATTCCAGTTGTCACGTCGATCTTCAAAGTGATGAGGGACACCTCATCAATAGGGACAGTAACACACAGGGACTGTGTGTTGGGAGCAATCTTTGCCAAGCGTCCTGCAAATTCTCTTGACGATGCTGGATCAGCAGGGTGCTCCGCCCCTACTGACCCTGACCGTTTTTGACGGTCCGACTTGCTGTCGCGGCTTGGCGACATGGTCGGACCCACGCCTCGGACCCTTCCTCGGCCAACAACGGTCATCACTTCCTGTATTTAGGCGTGATGCGGTGCTTGGGGCACTACACTCATGAGCGTAGTGTCTAATCTTCTGACAGCGATTGCATCTTGCAGTTCGCTTGTTACTCAGAGACAGAGAGTTCTCGCTCTCGTTGCAACAGAGGTCCATTGGTTCGGGACCTTCTGTTTCCTGTCGTCTCGTCAGACGATAGTTTGACGAGTTAGCCTGAGACTGTCTCAGGCTAAAGTCTTCTTGTTCCGCATACGCTATCGCCCTTTCCAGTGTATGGAAGTCCTCTCAGAACATGTAGGTCTTCACCGGTCCATCCACAAGGCCATAGATGAACACGTTGATGAGTGTGTGCTCATCAACAGGGTTTTCTATGACGCTACTCGCAAGGTAGTGTAGATGTTGTACGTAAGGGTGCACGTCACGCTTACCTTGCTTGAGCCTCAAGAGTGTAGAGCGTGCTCTATACTCGGCTCTCGGCGGCTCAAACGTCTCTTTGAGATGAGACTTCGAGATCTATAACGACTCAAACACTTTTGGGTCGTGAAGCTTGAGCCCTCAGGCCCAAGTCTTTGCTCGTCCTGTCAAATTTCACAGGGTGAAGGTGACTTGCATCTCGTCACCCTCGATATGTCGGACCCTGATGGCGTCGTCTAACTCGACGAAGCATCTCAAAAGAGAATCTTCGTCGGTTCCCTTGTACCTTGAGATATCAATCTTCAAGGTTTCGGGTCGACGCATGTGCGTCGGCCCGTCCATTGACTGATGGGAGCCTTGCCGCTGTAGCAAGGAAATCTTCTGTCTTTCGACGGCAAGTTCCCTTGTAGGAAATTTTGATAGCAGCATGTTTTTGGTCTCTGCTTAGAGACTCCAACATACCACTGATGGCGGGCTCGCCCATGAGGACTCTCGTGCAGCCAACTACCTCCCATTCTAAGTCACTCAGATGGGAGTAGCCTTCACGTGTGACGTACAATCTGTCGTCTTCTACATCCAACATGTTCATGTTGGACGGACACTAAGTAGTCGTTATGCGGACTACGAAGTGCTACCAGGTGTAACGGGGCACCCTTTTTTTGGGGTGCAGCGAAACTATACGTACACTAGTACGTGTAGAGGAAGCTATTTAGCTCAACAACTAAGCTGAGTAAAGGGTAAATAGAGAACTGTATTCAGTATAGTTAAGATATCAATATAACTTCAGTCTTTATCTAACTATATCAAACTACGTCGCCGTGTGACGACAACCTGCTCACCACACATTGCGCGCGTCTAGCAGCGATCGTTGGCAATCTCTGGTTGATACGTCTTATATCAACCAATGTTGGAGCAGCGCATGAGTATTATCAAAGGAGGATATAGCTCCTTCAATATTTTTCATCTCGGATAGTATTGGTAGGATATTGTCATGCTAGACAATTTTCCAATTGAAACCGTTTGGTGTCAATTTCACGAAACGGGCTACCCCGTTGCATGTATTAAATTTAATGCAATACAAGCACTGAACATTGTCTTAGTCCTAACTTAATTATACTTTTTCACAAAATGTGTATGCTAATGTCTTGCTTTTTGAGCGCGTCCATCGTTGATTGGACCGCTGGAGCTGACTGTTATGGTGACCCGTATCATAGAATCGGTGAGTGGTTCTGAGTATTAATCCTTTCGGTAATTTTCATCATTATCCTTTATGATAATGTTCTTACTAACAAGTATCAAGAGCTAATTACATGCAACGGGCTTACCGTGTTGCACAAAGGATTATCCATCTCAGGACTACAACTCGCATAGCGTACTACAGCCGTCCGAGGACAAACACTTACCGTAAGATATATGTATATAGTTTTATGCGTGGTACCTAGTTGCTAGCAGACCGGATACAGCAAGTCGTTCGCATACCTGAATATACCTCACCTTCTCACTCACTAGATGGAGAGGAAGTAAAGCCCTTTACACCGGCTAAAAAGGTGATTTGAAGCCCTTCAAGACTTCAGAACTGCTCGCTAACGGCAGCGACTGCTAGTATACAATTGAAGCTCTTTGCATATCGAAGGGACAAGTTGTTGTGGCACACACCTGGAAGCGTTGTCGTGTCAACGTTTCAGGCAAAAAGTCAACACATTTAGTCAAAGATTTAAGTAAAAAAGAATTACGTATTGCAGTAAGCTCTTTTGTAGCGGAGCTACACAGCTCCTTAAGTTAGAGAAATAATTAACGCTTAACGAGCAAGCTAGTTCTAAAGAACTAGACTCAATGAGTTAACAAGCGTTAAGATCATGGTCCTTGTTCCGGGGGACCAAACGATTCACTGAATCGACAGCACGTAGTGCTCAAGAGTAACTATCTACCTCAGGGAGGTTTTGCTAGCTCTTAGTGATCAGCGATCGACGACAAAAGGCGCCTCGCAAGGCACGTGTCTGTAAGATCAAAAGGGAAACTGAAATTTATTAACATTAACACCTATAGAATACCTCAGCCTAAGTAAGTAACACTAAGATCTCTCCTATCTAGTGGCTGGTACCAGTCAGCCCCTACAAACCGATCAGATAATCTATATCTCTTTTAGTGGGATATCATCCGTGTGTCTAAGACACATGGGTACCAGGTACCCAACTACGTGTGACTCCGGTACATACTCCCACATCAGACTTAAGTTCCCCAAACGTCAATCGAACTAGTCCATATCGGATCTCGTCCCAATCGGACCTCTTCCTAATCGAGCGTTCTCATCAAAATTTGTTCTTTTACGAGGTCAGTGCACTTGCGGCTCATCATGGTAACGCAAAATTCCTAGCCCGATGTCCACATCACCTCACGAGTCAAGACTCTCAGTAATTACTTTAAAATAGGGGAGGTTTTGGACTATGGTAGCGATGCCAGTATCGCGGGTGATGCAAGGACAATGTACGATACACCTATGTCTGAGGTGCAACTTCGTACTGTCCGTATTTGTTCCCTGAATGTGGTAATGCGAATTCGCCTTCGGCGCCGCGCTCAACCCCCGGTTCGGATGAAACATCATACCGAACCCGCTCGATGAGCAACAACAAATTATCCCTTGACAAGGATAAAGCAATCGGCGCTATGCGCATGTAGTCGAAACGCTCGAGCAACAACGTGGCTATGTGTTCACTTCACCCAGTGTGGGGAACGCTTATTTCAAACGATGGGCCAAACGTTGGCAACGTGGGTCATTGTCCATGGGCCCAAGTCTCCTAAGGAGGTGGTGAGCGTACAGGCACTTCGCGAGAGGTACCTGGAGCCGCACCTAACGACCCGAGGTCAATACAAGGCACGCCTTGACATGCAAGCAAGTGTTGCACCGGTTCCACCGATCGAGGGTATACCCATTCTCTTGTTCGCAGGCGAAATAGTGAGCGAAGAAGACGATGCCTTCGTCCGCTAGGTGCACCGCATACGTCGCCTCAGCAGTATGTCTGCTCTGAGAGCTAGTGCCAATGTGGCTGATGTACGTCTCGACCGCAAGCTCTGGTATTAAAAAGCCAAGCTTAAGGCCAGAGGCTAATTGCGTAATCCCACGTGATATGCTTCTGCTACTACGGAAGCCGCGAAGGCTGATCACAATTCTGACCACCAACCCGCTAACCCCCACCACTAGTGGTGGGAAACGGCCTCAGTCTCAAGATGACTTTGGCCACGATGTTCAAAAACATCCAAGGCATAAGGGCAATCTTGCCAAAGGGGTATCTCAAACTCCCATGAGTTCTCAGACTCAGGGTACCAACGCCACTTTACCAGATACTGGTTGTGGTCATGACGACGACGTCGTTTCAGTAGTCTCTCGACATGAAATTGACGACACCCGTGCTCATCGAGCAGCGTCGGTGGCGGTCGGTGTACCGGTGGAAGCCTACGAGAAATTGGTTTTCGAAGTAAAGGGTCTTCAAGAGACCTTGGGTAAGACCCAGTGCATGCTGGATGCGATGCAAAGCCGCCTCCAAGCGATGGAGCAAGCTCAAACTCGGAGCGAGGCTAAGTTGGACTTGCTGATTATCTTGCAGCAATCCGGGGCAATGCCCTTGTCGTCGGCGCAGGCGCCTCCATGTTCACATGGGAAGGATCCCGGTACGACTTGAGTAAGCCTACATAGAACACTGGGTGTGTGAGCAATTTGCGCGGAAGGTTTAGCGTATACGCAAGTCCCTTCTTGGCAGTGACCGTAAACGGTCCACTAAAGCGTGGAAGCATCTATGTCTTGAAGAAAGCAGACACTACATTGGTAGGTGGGTTTTTAGCATTGAGTAATACTTGGTCTCCGACCTCATAACGTTCAATACATTTCTGCCTTTGGCATCAGCTTGTTGCTTTTGTTGATCTTGGCTATCAGCCATTGCGTCACGCACATGTCATTAGACATTTAATCACGTTGCGAGAAACTCGCCTACCTGTTTTTGAACAGTAGCAGGGCTGATATCAGCAAGCCGATCGGCAACCTATCCCCCACCAAGCCCTGAATCACGTAGTGATAGCGTTAACGGAACGCGGGGGTGAGTGAGTGAGACCGTTTATACAGAACGGAGTAAAGCCTGTGGATGCATGAACAGCGTTTTTCAACGCAAACTCAACAACAGGGAGCACTGAGCTCCAACGCCTAGGCGTATCAGCGCAAACACTCCGCAAAATGTCGTTGATGACGCGGTTAACACGCTCAGTATGACCGTCGGTCTGCGGATGATCCGCTGTGGACATGTTCAACCGAGTGCCCAGCACCTTGAAGATAGACTTCCAAAACTTTCCAGCAAAGCGAGGATCTCTATCAGAGACAATTGCCACAGGCAAGCCATGTTGGTGAAACACACGGTCGATAAAAAGCTTTGCTGTACCTTCAGCATCGACTGTGTCCGGCACAGCCGCTAAATGAGCCGTCTTGCTCAAACGGTCAATGAAGACCACAATACCAGTGTTGCCTTCCATATCTTTCGGTAGGCCAAACACAAAATCCATGCTCATGGACTCCCAACAACCAGTGGGTACTGGCAAACTAGCCAGCGGCGCCGCCGCATGTGCTGAGGGTTGAACCCGTTGACACGTTTCGCACGTACGCACATAGGTGCTCACTCAATCAAGAAGTTTGAGCCACCAATAACTTTGGCTCACCGATCTATAAGTTTTCTCATGACCGAGATGACCATTTAAAGCAGGATCATTTTCCTCATAGAGGATTCAATGCTTCAACTCCTCATAATGAGGTAGAGCGATACGAGGGTTATCCTCAATATTCGTGCGATATCACAACAGGCCATTATCGATAGAATATCGATGTAGCCTCGCACGTATACGTGCCGACCATTCTATGTCCGAGTCTTTAAACTCATCGCTCCCAAGAGCACGTAGCAAAGCTGCACACTGATCATCCTTGGCATAAGCCTCACGGATTAAGTCAGTGACTGACGACGACAGAGTCGTAACATGAGCAAGCTCATTTTTATGTCGGCGCGATAGCGCATCAGCCAAAGCATTTTGCTTTCCTGGCTTATGCTTGGCCTCGAAGTTATATTCGGCAAAGAAGGAAATCCAACGAGCCATTCTCTGTGAGAGATGAGGCGGCTGTGTCGCAGTTCGTAATGACGCATGATCGGTATAAGTCACAATTAGCTTTGAGCTAAGCCGATGTGCTCTGAATTTGACAAGAGCGTACTTCATAGCAAGTAGCTCTTTGTCATGAACTGGATAGTTCTTCTCAGCAGCTCTAAGCTGGCAAGATTCTAACGCAATGACGCGCTTGCGTCCATCGACATCTGTCTGTAAGATAGCACTGCCTATGGCGAAGTCAGATGCGTCACAGACGACACTGAAGGGCCGATCAGGATTGGGCAAAGCCAATATTGGCGCATGAAGGGTACTCTCCTTAACCGCTTCAAAAGCATCATGTTCGGTATTACCCCAACACCAATCCACATCCTTTTTCAGGAGATTGGATGATGGCCTAGCCATATTTGCGTAATTTGCACTGTACTCATGTAAGTAATTGGCAAGGCCAAGTCACTTACGTGAGTCCTTTTGGCTCTTGGGAACCGGCCAATTGACTATGGCTTTTACCTTAACGGGATCCGCTCGAAGGCCTTGCTTCCCAATGAAGCACCCTAGAAAGGGAATCTCTTCTGCACCAAAAATGCACTTAGATGCGTTAGCATACAACCTATTCGTCCGCATGCACTCGAGCACCGCTCGTAAATGATCATTGTGGTTATCCACATCTGATCGCCCATTCATTTCACGACTATGGACAAAGCTGTCATCAAAGTACGTTTGTGCATAGCCTCGATGAGTTCTGAACAGTTGCGTCACTAGACGGTTTAAAAGTAGCCGGGGCGTTAGATAGCCCTTGTGGCATAACGAGCCACTCCCAGAGCATACCGCACGGAGTACTCACCGCTGTTAGTGGAATATCACTTGCTCGCATGAGCAGTTGGTAATAACCATCGACTAAGTCGAGTGCACTGTACAATGTACATCCTACCATATTGTTCTGAAGAACATCCTTTCTAGGAATAGGCGTCTGCGCCGGTATAGTGGCTGCATTAAGCTTATTACAAGCATGCACAACACGCCACTTGCCATTTGGCTTTTTGACACAAAATGTCGGTGTTGAATGAGGAGATTTACTCCCATGAACCATTCCAGCCGCGTGCTTAGCACGAAAGAAATCGCCAATGACGTCACGTTGTTCTTTAGGCAAAGGCCACTGCCGTGTTACGCAGTGTTCACTTCCAGGAACCAAGTCAATTTCATGACGTACACCTCTATCAGGTAAAAGACGGATGGTGGATTGTGACACACAACGTAGCGGAGCTACACAGCCCCTTAAGTCAGAGGAAGACTTAACGCTTTACGATCAACTTAGTTTTAAAGAACTTACCACTCTATGAGTCAGCAAGCTTTACAGCGTATGGTCCCTGTTCCAGGTAACCTAACGATTCAGTGAATCGACAGCACTCAGTGCTCAAGAGTAGCTACCTCAAGGAGGTGTTTCTAACTGTTAGTGATCAGTGATCAACGATCAAGACGGCTCGCAAGCCACGTGTCCTTTAGATCAAAATGGGAACTGATTTTATATTTTTGTTAAAGCCTACAGAATATCTTAATCCTACTCAAAGATCTTTCGTACCTAATGGATGACACTCGTCAGCCCCTACAAACCGATAAGATATTCTATATCATCTGTCTAGGGGTACCATCAGGTGTGTGACACACCTGGTACAAAGTACCCTTTTACGTGCAACCCTGTTACACCCTCCCCCACCAGACTGACGTTTACCAAAACGTCAATCGAACTTGTGTTCCTAAGCGAGAACAGTGCGCGTACGGTAAACCTCACGGCAACGTACGCTTTAGCACGATGTCATCATCACCAAGCGAGTTATAGACTCTGTGTGACTACCTCGGAAGAGAGGGGGTAGTGGACTATGGTAGCGATACCAGTGTCCAGGGTGATACAGGGACAATGTCCGACTCACCGATGTCTGAGGTACAATTTTCGAATACTTTAAGTTCGTTCTCTGAACGTGGAGATGCGAGCGCGCCACTGGCGCAGCATTGATCACCTGTTTCTGGTAAATATCATCGCGAACCCGCTCGATGAGCAACAACAATTGCTTGTCCAACAAGAAGAAAACGCTCAGCGTCATGCACAAATGGGTGCAACCCTTGATCGCCAGCGTGACTATGTGTTCACTTCACCCAGTGTGGAGGAACGTCTACGTCAAGCAGCCCGCCAAACATTGGCGACGTGGGTCATTGTCCATGGGCCTAAGACTCCTAAGGAGGTGGTGAGCGTACAGGCACTTCGCGAGAGGTACCTGGAGCCGCACCTAACGACCCGAGGTCAATACAAGGCACGCCTTGACATGCAAGCACGTGTTGCACCGGTTCCACCGATCGAGAGTATACCCATTCTCTTGTTCGCAGGCGAAATAGTGAGCGAAGAAGACGATGCCTTCGTCCGCTAGGTGCACCGCATACGTCGCCTCAGCAGTATGTCTGCTCTGAGAGCTAGTGCCAATGTGGCTGATGTGCGTCTCGACCGCAAGCTCTGGTATTAAAAAGCCAAGCTTAAGGCCAGAGGCTAATTGCGTAATCCCACATGATATGCTTCTGCTACTACGGAAGCCGCGAAGGCTGATCACAATTCTGACCACCAACCCGCTAACCCCCACCACTAGTGGTGGGAAACGGCCTCAGTCTCAAGATGACTTTGGCCACGATGTTCAAAAACATCCAAGGCATAAGGGCAATCTTGCCAAAGGGGTATCTCAAACTCCCATGAGTTCTCAGACTCAGGGTACCAACGCCACTTTACCAGATACTGGTTGTGGTCATGACGACGACGTCGTTTCAGTAGTCTCTCGACATGAAATTGACGACACCCGTGCTCATCGAGCAGCG